TGGAGAAGAGACTAGTCAACTGTTCTCCGCTCCACGATTAGATGGACAAGAGACTAGTCAACTGTTCTCCGCTCCACAGTTAGATGGAGAAGAGACTAGTCAACTGTTCTTCTCAACACAGTTAGACAAGAGACTAGTCAAGTGTTCTCCTCACCACAGTTAGATAGACAAGAGACTAGTCAACTGTTCTCCTCACCACGGTTAAATAGACAAGAGACTAGTCAACTGTTCTCCTCACCACGGTTAAATAGACAAGAGACTAGTCAACTGTTCTCCGCTTCACAGTTATATGGACAAAAGACTAGGCAACTGTTCTCACCACGGTAAGAGACAAGAGACTAGTCAACTGTACTCCTCACCCCGGCTAAATAGACAAGAGACTAGTCAACTGTTCTCCTCACCACAGTTAGATAGACAAGAGACTAGTTAACTGTTCTCCTCAACACAGTTAGATAGACAAGAGACTAGTCAACTGTTCTCCTCACCATGGTTGGATGGTCAGGAGACTAGTCAACTGTTCTCCGCTCCACAGTTAGATGGACAAGAGACTAGTCAACTGTTCTCCTCACCACAGTTAGATAGACAAGAGACTAGTCAACTGTTCTCCTCACCACAGTTAGATGGACAAGAGACTAGTCAACTGTTCTCCTCACCACAGTTAGATAGACAAGAGACTAGTCAACTGTTCTCCTCACCACAGTTAGATGGAGAAGAGACTAGTCAACTGTTCTCTCACCACAGTTAGATAGACAAGAGACTAGTCAACTGTTCTCCGCTCCACAGTTAGATGGAGAAGAGACTAGTCAACTGTTCTCCTCTCCACGATTAGATGGACAAGAGACTAGTCAACTGTTCTCCGCTCCACAGTTAGATGGAGAAGAGACTAGTCAACTGTTCTTCTCAACACAGTTAGACAAGAGACTAGTCAAGTGTTCTCCTCACCACAGTTAGATAGACAAGAGACTACATTGTAGTCAACTGTTCTCTTCACCATGGTTAGATAGACAAGAGACTAGTCAACTGTTCTCCTCACCATGGTTGGATGGTCAGGAGACTAGTCAACTGTTCTCCGCTTCACAGTTAGATGGACAAGAGACTAGTCAACTGTTCTTCTCAACACAGTTAGACAAGAGACTAGTCAAGTGTTCTCCTCACCACAGTTAGATAGACAAGAGACTAGTCAACTGTTCTCCTCACCACGGTTAAATAGACAAGAGACTAGTCAACTGTTCTCCGCTTCACAGTTATATGGACAAAAGACTAGGCAACTGTTCTCACCACGGTAAGAGACAAGAGACTAGTCAACTGTTCTCCTCACCGCTAAATAGACAAGAGACTAGTCAACTGTTCTCCTCACCACAGTTAGATAGACAAGAGACTAGTTAACTGTTCTCCTCACCACAGTTAGATAGACAAGAGACTAGTCAACTGTTCTCCTCACCATGGTTGGATGGTCAGGAGACTAGTCAACTGTTCTCCGCTCCACAGTTAGATGGAGAAGAGACTAGTCAACTGTTCTCCTCTTCACTGTTAGATAGACAAGAGACTAGTCAACTGTTCTCCTCACCACAGTTAGATGGACAAGAGACTAGTCAACTGTTCTCCTCACCACAGTTAGATGGACAAGAGACTAGTCAACTGTTCTCCTCTCCCACAGTTAGATGGACAAGAGACTAGTCAACTGTTCTCACCACAGTTAGATAGACAAGAGACTAGTCAACTGTTCTCCCGCTCCACAGTTAGATGGACAAGAGACTAGTCAACTGTTCTCTCCACGATTAGATGGACAAGAGACTAGTCAACTGTTCTCCCTCCACAGTTAGATGGACAAGAGACTAGTCAACTGTCTCTTCTCACCACAGTTTAGACAAGAGACTAGTCAACTGTTCTCCTCACCACAGTTAGATGGACAAAGAGACTAGTCAACTGTTCTCTTCACCATGGTTAGATAGACAAGAGACTAGTCAACTGTTCTCCTCACCATGGTTAGATGGACAAGAGACTAGTCAACTGTTCTCCTCACCACAGTTAGATAGACAAGAGACTAGTCAACTGTTCTCCTCACCACAGTTAGATAGACAAGAGACTAGTCAACTGTTCTCCTCACCACAGTTAGATGGACAAGAGACTAGTCAACTGTTCTCCTCACCACAGTTAGATAGACAAGAGACTAGTCAACTGTTCTCCTCAACACAGTTAGATGGACAAGAGACTAGTCAACTGTTCTCCTCACCACAGTTAGATAGACAAGAGACTAGTCAACTGTTCTCCTCACCACAGTTAGATGGACAAGAGACTAGTCAACTGTTCTCCTCACCACAGTTAGATAGACAAGAGACTAGTCAACTGTTCTCCTCACCACAGTTAGATGGACAAGAGACTAGTCAACTGTTCTCCTCACCACAGTTAGATAGACAAGAGACTAGTCAACTGTTCTCCTCACCACAGTTAGATAGACAAGAGACTAGTCAACTGTTCTCCTCACCACAGTTAGATAGACAAGAGACTAGTCAAGTGTTCTCCTCACCACAGTTAGATAGACAACAGACTAGTCAACTGTTCTCCACTCCACAGTTAGATGGAGAAGAGACTAGTCAACTGTTCTCCGTTCCACGATTAGATGGACAAGAGACTAGTCAACTGTTCTCCTCACCACAGTTAGATGGAGAAGAGACTAGTCAACTGTTCTCCGCTCCACGATTAGATGGACAAGAGACTAGTCAACTGTTCTCCTCACCACGGTTAAATAGACAAGAGACTAGTCAACTGTTCTCCGCTTCACAGTTAGATGGTCAAGAGACTAGTCAACTGTTCTCCTCACCACGGTTAGATAGACAAGAGACTAGTCAACTGTTCTCCTCAACACAGTTAGATGGACAAGAGACTAGTCAACTGTTCTCCTCACCACGGTTAGATAGACAAGAGACTAGTCAACTGTTCTCCTCAACACAGTTAGATGGTCAAGAGACTAGTCAACTGTTCTCCTCACCACAGTTAGATGGTCAAGAGACTAGTCAACTGTTCTCCTCACCACAGTTAGATAGACAAGAGACTAGTCAACTGTTCTCCTCACCATGGTTAAATAGACAAGAGACTAGTCAACTGTTCTCCGCTTCACAGTTAGATGGTCAAGAGACTAGTCAACTGTTCTCCTCACCACAGTTAGATAGACAAGAGACTAGTCAACTGTTCTCACCACGGTTAAATAGACAAGAGACTAGTCAACTGTTCTCCGCTTCACAGTTAGATGGTCAAGAGACTAGTCAACTATTCTCCTCACCACAGTTAAATAGACAAGAGATTAGTCAACTGTTCTCCTCACCACAGTTAGATAGACAAGAAACTAGTCAACTGTTCTCCTCACCACAGTTAGATATACAAGAAACTTTAGCATTGCAGGGAGGGCTAGGTTAAGGGAAAGTAATGTGGTTCAGGGATTGTGAGACAGACTAACTGTTTTCCTCAGCCAGGAGTTAAATGCCAGTCCCTTGTAATCACCAGTGATAGGCGTACACAACAGTGGAAGAGATGCCTTTACCATGATGCAGTGTGGCAGTGAGGGTAGAACCTTCTTTATACAGCAGCAATACTGGCAGCAGTGGATGTAACAGATTAAATTATTATTAACTGCATTCCATGAAAACTCCAAGGTGAAGATATGAAGGCAATTCAGTAAGGCATTCATTATTCCCTTGGGTGGAATGACTACAGACCACACCTTGCTTCAGAAATCCTTGACTTTAAAAAATGTTCATGAGTATTTAATCTTGAGTAAGCTTGGGAGGTGTATAGTAAGGAGAAAGTCTGACGGTCTATGCACTGTCTGGTACAACAGGCTGACTGTGTAGGTACAGTCTGATGGATCTGAGTAATTGCAGGATCCTTTGTGGGAGAGAGAAAGAGTGTCTGTGAGTGTGTGTGAGAGAGACAGACAGAGAGAGAAACTGTGTCTGTAGTGTGTGTGTGTGAGAGAGACAGACAGAGAGAGAGTGTCTTTGAGTGTGTGTGTGTGTGTGTGAGAGAGAGTGTCTGTGAGTGTGTGTGAGAGAGAAACACAGAGAGAGTGAGTGTCTGTGTGTGAGAGAGAGACAGACAGAGAGAGTGTCTGAGTGTGTGTGTGTGAGAGAGAGACAGAGAGAGTGAGAGTGTGTGTGTGAGAGAGACAGACAGACACACAGAGAGAGACAGACACAGAGAGAGAGAGAGACAGACACAGAGAGAGTGAGGCAACTGAAGGTTGATTGCATGAGCAATGGCACTTGTCACTGAAGACAATAACACAAGACAGTGAACTTACGACAAGCATAATGTACTTAGCTCCTTTCTGTCCCCAGTAGTGCTTTGTTACAATTACTGTTATTTGGCAGCCACTTGTATAGTAGAGAATAGGGGTGGGCGATAACAAAGGTTAACCGGTATATTGCAATTCGAACTTCACAATATGATATATTGTGCTACACTTTTCGTGAACCGGTTCACCCGATATGATTGGTAATTTTCGTGATGTAGTCAAAACTACTAATAACATTTGTATTTCCTTTATATTATTATATATTCATAGTTTTGAGAATGTTTATTGTTCATATAATTGTTCGTATATTATTGTTGCATTAGTGTGACTTTTAAGTAATAAAAAAGGATTGATTGGCACCGGCAAACCAAAATGGTGGACGCTGCTGCAGATGCTTTTCTCGAGTTCCAAACTTTAGAGTGAAGTCTTCAATTTGGAAACATTTTCAATTGATCTCTTGTACAATTACACCTGAGTCCTGCCAGTGGCCTTTGGCATTGTTTCAAATGAAAGGAACCAGTTATGTGATTACCTTTACCCTAGGGTTACACTTTCACAATATATTGCAATACATATTGCAGTATGCCAACACATGTCAGCCTAGGAAGCAGAAACATCAGGGGAAAACTATTCCCAAACTCCTTTCTATTATATAATCATGACAAAATACCTTCCAAACCAGGGCTAAATGTGTGCATGTCTGTTTCAGGCCTAGATGAAGACAGCCAATGGCGTGGTGGAGTGAGTGCCAAGGGGGAAGGGGGGTCAGTACGCCCCGTATCTCACTACCTGGGGTGGTTCTTCTCCTGCTGGGGACTGCTGGACTTATCTCTCAACTCGTCAGTGCAGGTAAGTGCTGCTCACCTGGAAGCTCTGTGGGCAGAGCAACTATACCAGAGAAAACAAGAATGTATTTTGACTTCCTCAGAGGCAGATGTTAGTCCCCAGGGCCGAGATTTTCGAAGCTCTCGTAGCGCTAAGATAGTCATAAGTGCCATACATTAACATTAACTTACGACTATCTTAGCGCTAAGAGAGCTTCGAAAATCTAGGCCCAGGTTCAAAGCAAATGTCCCATGTTATTCCTGTTACTGATGTACTGATGTAACAGTATCGAGGTGACTTCATCCACTGATGACAGAATCAGTGTCGAGGTGACTTCATCTACTGATGACAGAATCAGTGTAGAGGTGACTTCATCCACTGATGACAGAATCAGTGTAGAGGTGACTTCATCCACTGATCACAGATTCAGTGTCGAGGTGACTTCATCCACTGATGACAGATTCAGTGTAGATGTGACTTCATCCACTGATGACAGATTCAGTGTAGAGGTGACTTCATCCACTGATCACAGAATCGATATAGAGGTGACTTCATCCACTGATCACAGATTCAGCGTCGAGGTGACTTCATCCACTGATCACAGAAACAGTATAGACATGACTTCATCCACTGATCACAGAATCAGTATAGAGGTGACTTCATCCACTGATGACAGAATCAGTATAGACGTGACTTCATCCACTGATCACAGAACCAGTATAGAAGTGACTTCATCCACTGATGACAGATTCAGTGTCGAGGTGACTTCATCCACTGATCACAGAAACAGTAAAGACATGACTTCATCCACTGATGACAGAACCAGTATAGAGGTGACTTCATCCACAGGTGACAGAATCAGTATAGAGGTGACTTCATCCACTGATCACAGAACCAGTATAGAGGTGACTTCATCCACTGATGACAGAATCAGTGTCGAGGTGACTTCATCCACTGATCACAGAAACAGTAAAGACATGACTTCATCCACTGATAACAGAATCAGCATAGAGGTGACTTCATCCACAGGTGACAGAATCATAGTAGAGGGAACTTCTTCCACTGATGACTTAATCAGTGTAGAGGTGACTTCATCCACTGATAACAGAATCAGTGTAGAGGTGACTTCATCCACAGATGACAGAATCATAGTAGAGGTGACTTCATCCACTGATGACAGAATCAGTGTAGAGGTGACTTTATCCACAGGTGACAGAATCATAGTAGAGGGGACTTCATCCACTGATCACAGAACCAGTATAGAGGTGACTTCATCCACTGATGACAGAATCATAGTAGAGGTGACTTCATCCACTGATGACAGAATCAGTGTAGCGGTGACTTCATCCACTGATCACAGAATCAGTGTAGCGGTGACTTCATCCACTGATCACAGAATCAGTATAGACGTGACTTCATCCACTGATCACAGAATCAGTATAGACATGACTTCATCCACTGATGACAGAATCGGTATAGAGGTGACTTCATCCACAGGTGACAGAATCAGTATAGAGGGGACTTAATCCACTGATGACAGAATCAGTGTAGAGGTGACTTCATCCACTGATAACAGAATCAATGAAGAGGTGACTTCATCCACTGATCACAGAATCAGTGTAGAGGTGACTTCATCCACTGATGACAGAATCAGTGTAGAGGTGACTTCATCCACTGATGACAGATTTAGTATAGAGGTGACTTCATCCACTGATGACAGATTTAGTATAGAGGTGACTTCATCCACTGATGACAGATTTAGTATAGAGGTGACTTCATCCACTGATGACAGAACCAGTGTAGAAGTGACTTCATCCACTGATGACAGAACCAGTGTACAGGTGACTTCATCCACTGATGACAGATTTAGTATAGAGGTGACTTCATCCACTGATGACAGAACCAGTGTAGAAGTGACTTCATCCACTGATCACTTCATTCACTATTTGATTTAATATCCAGACATTGGAATACCGGGTATATGAAATTCTAAGGTATGTAATTGTTGTCAGTCAAAGACACTTGTATTAGGGATGTGTTATTCCTGGAATGATCAAATGGTGGATATAGCTGAATATATTACTGAGTCAGCTGTTTGTGGTTTATCATCCTTTGGCATTGACCGGATATCCCCTTGTCTCCACATAATCTGGATCTTATCCACTGACACAACTCATTTGTATACCTCCTTCAGTGTGCACTACTGGAGGATGCAAGGCTTGAAAAGATTATGCTTGAAGGTAATGCCTGAAAGTGATACCTGAAGGTGATGTTTGATGGCACTGCTTGAAAGTAATGTTTGAAGGTGATGTTTGATGGCAATGCTTGAAAGTGATGCTTGAAACCGATGTTTGATAGCAATGTCTGATAGTGATGCTTGCATTTCATGTTTGATGGCAATGCTTGAAAGTGGTAGATAGAAGATTTCTTGGATGCAATACTTGACAATGATGTTTTTGGCAATGCTTGAAAGTGATGCTTGGAGACAGGGCTTGAATATTGTGTATCAATGTATTGTGATTTGAGTAAAGATATCTGGGGGATTTAGAGCCATATTCCTCTGGGAAATCTGAGTTGGTGTTGAGTCATACCCACGCTGTCTTTGATCTGTCGCTTTTGGACTACATCTGTGGATTGGTCTTCAGCAACAAATGCAACTATGCATCAACAAAGAAGAAAAAAGATAAGAGTAGAATCAATGACCTAGAAACATTATTGCATGATTTAGAGATAGAACTGGACAACAATGACAGTTTACAGATCAAGGAAGAAATTCTAAAAAGAATAAATGATACAAAGGCTGAACTCAATGATTTTGAAACAAACAAAACAAAGGGATCTTTTATTAGATCCAAAGCAAAATGGGCAGAACAGAGAGAAAAACCAAGTAGATATTTTTTTAATTTGGAAGTTAGAAATTTTCTAAACAAGTCTATATCAGAAATTAAAAAAAATGATGGATCACCCATTAAAGATCAGGAAGAAATGCTAAAAGATACCCAAACCATAAAAATGAAAACTGCACACAAATTAATCTTGATTCTTTGTTAAACAGATACGATATGCCAAAACTAAATGAAGACAGTGACACATCTGTGGAGGGAGAACTAACATATAAGGAAACACTAGAAGCACTGAAAAAAATGAAAAACGGAAAAAGTCCTTGACCAGATGGTTTTACAACAGAATTTTTAAAATTCTTTTGGATAGATTTAAATAAATTCTTGATGAATTATTTTAATTATGCGTATCTAAATGAAAATCTATCAGTTACCCAGAAACAAGGACTAATTACATGCCTACCAAAAGAAAACAAACTGAAGCTGTTTTTAAAAAATTGGCGGCCAATTTCTCTCCTTAACACATCATATAAAATTGCATCAGCGGTTATAGCTAATCGAATGAAAAAGATACTACCACTAATAATAAATGATGATGAATAAGGTTTCGTACCAGGAAGACATATTGGTGAGGTCACAAGGCTGATATATGATCTAATGGAGTATACAGAATCTTATCAAATACCAGGACTATTAGTTCTAATTGATTTTGAAAAGGCTTTTGATTCAGTTGACGGTAATTTTATACTAAATGTATTAAGATACTTTAATTTCGGACCTAGTTTTCAAAAGTGGATAAGAACTTTTTTGATGACATGAAATCAAGTGTACTTGTAAATGGATTTGCGTGCACCTCTTTTCCTATAGCCAGAGATTGTCGTCAAGGAGATCCTATTTCACCATATATTTTTATCTTATGTGCAGAAATTTTGGTAGTCTGTCGTACAGACCCTGAAGCTAATATATCCAAGAAAGCCCACGCAAGTCTAGAAAATGTGGCAAGTCTAGAAATGAAGAAAGTCTCAGGGCTCCTTTTCATTATATTTTCATTTTTTTTACTATGAACTTTTTTCAGTAAAATATGTTCATTTCAGAGACTAGTTGTTAGTCTAAAATTTTGGCTATACTTAACAGAAATAATAAAAATATAAAAGGCATTAAACAAGGAAATATTGAATATGTTCTTGCACAATTTGCTGACGATACTTCCCTACCTTTAGATGGCACTGAGAGTACTCTATATGCCTTGCTGAATACTTTATCTGTTTTTGCAAGGTTTTCTGGCTTGAAAATTAATGCTGACAAGACAAGACTGAAATGGATAGGCTCTAAAAAAAAGATGTAGATATAAACTCTGTAAAGACTGGAACTTAGATTGGACTCAAAGTAACTTTAAGCTACTGGGTATTATATTTAATGTTGACCTTGACAAAATGGTGAAATTGAATTGTGATAATAAGTTTAAAAAGATAGAGATTGAAATGAAGTTATGGTCAATAAGAACACTTACCCCAATCGGTAGAAATGTTAATTTGGAATCACTATTACTCTCAAAATTAAACCATCTAACTCAATTCCATCACCCCCAGAGGAGATAATAAATAAATTTCAACAAGCCTGCTTCAAATTTGTATGGAGAGACAAACCTGATAAAATTAAAAGAGATGTACTTCCTATGCCACCTGAATATGGATGAATCAGTGTTCCACTAATGAAGAATATATCATTTATGCACATAAAATATAATGGATAAAGAGAGTATATTCCAGTAGCTGCAAGTGGAAAGCATTAGTTGAAAATTATATACCTAACTACAGAAGACTTTGGTTAGCTGATCCTGAATGTATGGAAAAAACACATAAAATCTTACATAAGCAATCCTTTTTGGAGAGATTTGATCTCTACATGGGATCACATTTTCAAAGGCAATATAAGACATTAAACTCAAATGACATGTTAAACTAATGTATTTGGTTGATATATGTTTAACATAGGTAACGAAACAAGTTTTATAAACAATTGGTACAATGCAGGTATACACTTTACTTATGATCTAATAAATACTACTACAGGGGAATTCTATACTTATGAAGAACTACAAGAAATGTATCAAGTCAACGCAAATATCTTAAGACATCTTAGCATCAAATCTTCCATAATTGCTGGTTTAAGAGAAGACAAATC